CGCCAGCATCTGCATTTATGCTGTGTCAGTGATTTGAAAAGATAATGATCATAGCATTCTTGCTATGTGTTTTTTGTTTTCTCTTCAGGGACTACTTTGCCAGTTGGCTTCTTCTACATTACAGGGGGAGGACAGCCTGATGGCTGGTTTGGAGAGACCTGATGCTGAATTAGGACATTATTAAGTAACGAATGTTACATTGCTAAGGGTAGACTTAAAAGAAAGAAAAATGTAATGTCTTATCTCAAAAGACATTAAGTAATTTTTATGTCATTGTCATGTTGCTTTTACATATATGGATATTTTCATTTAGATGGGAAAAAAAAACATGTGTTAAGTTTTAGATATGCTAATTTTTAAATACAGCACATCGATCTTGAAGCACTCACTAAAGTCAATATAACCATTTCTGATGACAAAGTCACATCTGACATTTTTTGCACAATGTTCACTGACATATAATCTATTTTGTTGCCTTACCCTCCAAATATCTGGCCAACTAAGTAGGAAGTAAATGTCATCAGAGTAGTTTTAAAATCAGCTATTTAAGTGTCATCTTAATAATGTTGTGTTTTCAGTTGCAATACCAAATATAATTATATTTCCAATTCACACTATAACGGTAGATTTCTGTTTTTTGCATTGGTTGTGGTCCAAAACTTGGGCTTAGACAGAATAGTTAATAAAATCATTAGAGAGACCCTGAATCTCTTATTTTAGGCTGTACACTTTGTTGCTGAGTCATCCAGCTTATTTCAGGCTTTCATTCTGCCTCTTAAGAACTGCACAACACGTGCTTTGATCACGTCTACAGTCTTCACACTCTTAATGGTGGTTCACCATGTTTTTCAGACACAGCAATTTCGTCTTTCACTGAGGTTAAAAGAGATTAAATAAATTGACTAAGGTCTTGCATAGCTCGTAGCAAAGAGAAGGATTGGTTTGGTCTCCTAAATCAGCACCAGTTCACTAAGTGCTTACTTATCTCAGGGAGAATCAATTGAGAGAAATGAAGTGTTATCAATTGCAAAAAATAATGGAAAGATGACATGTAGTATTAATGTAAAACTGGTGTATTTATATTAAACAGATTAAATTCTTGTGATTGATTACGCTGAAGACAAAGAATTTGTATACTGATAAATATAATAGATAATTTACATTTTGTCTGATTGCTGGCATTACTATTACTGCCTTACTCTTACACATGCTGTTCCTTTCACTATTGGAGAAGAAAGGTCATGAGGTAGGTTTTCCCTGCCTGCCACTTCACTTTTCCTTGTAAGCGTCCCCCTTTTTGTCCCTTTCCCCATTTTGATTCCTCCGGGGACCCTGCGATCTTCTTAATCTTCCCACCTATCCCCCAACAACTGGCTTGGCAAGACACAGCACCTGCTGCAGCTCATTTGGGTCTAGCTCTGTGCTTATTTTAATCAGCACATATGTGCTGCCTGGCTGGCTGAAGAACCAGGCAGTAACTGCTGGACTTGTGTGGCTGCCTTTTCATTTGTGAGTGCACGTGTCGGAGTTGCTCTTTTCTGCCCTGTTATCATGGCTCTGCATTTATTGGGAAAGCTCAATACCACCAATTTCATTTTCTAAATAAACTAGACATAAAAAAAAAAAAAATAACATTGAGACATATTTTGCTCATCGATCACCAATAAATCACAATTGATGTTGCTAGCAAATAAGTTTGTAGTGATCTTTTACAAAATTATTTTACTTCATGATTTATGTGACATAAGTACATAATTTTGGATAAGAGTAAGCTGTAATTTAATGAGGAAAATTTATTTGTGATTGTCTGATAGCAGTAGTAGTTCTGAGCTGTTACTTGCTTGAATATCAAGAACTGATAAAGTATTTACTCATATAGGATTGTTTGCATATTTTTTTCTTATGGAAAAATGAAATCTTCTACAAATTAATTATTGAAAACTTTTTCTATCGTCTGTATATAGTCTTCATACATTAATTATACTTCTTGATACTAATTTGAAAGAGGCCATATTAAGGACATAATCCATTGTTTTACTGCTATCTGCATTTTTTTAATTGCACTCATAAAAGTACCCATAAAGAACTGCGGTTCTTCCATGTCTTCCTATACATAATTAAAGATACACCATTGCTCCCTTTTCCAGTTCTCTCCAAATGAGTGTAGCGTTACTACTTCTAGTCATTTTGTTGTTTGGATTTATGCATGTATTATCTGATCGGAATTATGAACTTTTAAAATGATATTGTATATATTTTCTTACCAGAGACTTGATTCTGGCTTATTAAAGACAATAGTAGACTTGCTCTTCTTAGTAAGAACAGTTTCCATAATGCAGCAAGTTTCATAAATTGCAATTTAGGATAGGTTTCTGTGTATTTACATGCACATTTACAAGCCATTCTAAAGGCTATTTAAATTGTTGTGTTTCTTTGTATCAAGATAGTAGTTTAAGAATTATTATTGTTCATTGTTACTCTATGCTTTTATCTCTTTTTTTATGGTCAGTGTTTACACTGTGATACTTGAGAGATTTTTTTTGCAGGTGGACATTATAGCTTCCTAGCCAAAGCCATCCTTGCTCAGCGTTACCCTAAGGGCTTGTTCTTTGAGCAGTCCCCTTGAAATGTGTTGCTTTTGGGGGGGATCACATTGCAGCTTGTCAAAAAAGGTGTAATTGAATCCAAATAGAATGAACTCAATTGACTAGACAATAGATGCAGATACCAATTTAAAAGAGAATTTGTATATATTTGCATGGCTCTAAACAGAGGGGAACTGTCAAGACCTTGACCACTTCATTTACTTAGGGAGTGTTAGGTTAGCTTGGAGATGTTCTTGTGGCTTTCTTAATGCAAGGCACAGGCAGACCAAGCTCACACTTCCCTATGGAAACCTGGAAATGAACCTTTTGCTTAAGAACAGAACGGAAACTGCTTCAGTGTCAAGGATATTTAATTATTTAAAGGTGCTTAATGTGGTTGGTTACCCAAGTATGGATGAGGGAAGGATGGTAGAGTAAGGCTGGGCTTTGAATTTTGAGGTGCAAATTACTGTCTCTGCCTTTCTGCACTCATTGGTAGTCTCAACCTGAAGACAGGTTTAGAACCAGATGTTAGAAATCTTTAATAGGGAATTTCTAGTTGTCCATGTAAATATCATAGATATGTTCAGGTCAGAGCGGTTCATTGCTAAATCTGTCAGGAAATTGGCTTGTCCTTTGAGTCTATTCAATCAAATCATGATAAACAAGATGTTATGAAACATAGATCAACCTTTAAGCACCTAAGTCTTCACTACTGCAAAAGGCAAAGCTTTCTCCTATATTAAATCATTTAAGCAAGCTGTGTATCTTACATCAACATTTTATCTCTTTTTCTGTCGTGCCACAGTTATACCCAGACAAGGAACTGTATATTTGCTGTGAGTTCGGCAAATGCTGAGGTAATCCAAGTCTTTGTTGAGAGACATTATTTATTCTATAAATGTTTAATGTGGAGGAACTGTTGAACTGCATAATTTGATAGAGATGGGTGTGCTGTTCCCGGAGTATTTCCAGTGTTGAAAATACAGCCAGGCTTTCTAGTGTGCAATGTCCCTTATAGGACACACAATATCTTCTCGTGGGATTGGTGTGTCTTCCTCCAGCAAGTCCTTCCAAAAATACTAGCAGACACCAAGGCAATCCTCAAAGTCATTATTCCTGATTAGCTTTTTCCAGGCTCCCTGTTTGATCTGAACACTAAGACTGTTTCCGAGTCTGTTGTGGCAGTTCTTTAATAACATAATTCCCAGTTAATGTTACAAGTACTTCAAGATTGCTTTTGTTTCTCTGAGCTACTATGAATACGATTCAAAGCAAATTATGTGGAAGTCATCCATGTAGCTTGCCTTTTATATCCTTTTTTTTTTTTTTTTTTTTTCCTCCAGATGTTTTAAGTGTCTTTCATTGTTTCATTCAAGTCTTTGGACTCAAAATGTGTTAGCTCATTTGACCTAGTATTTCTTCCTTTGATGCCTTGTATTTGCCCTTAGAAATTAAGCGGTGTAATTCTTCCTCTGGAGATGTTGATTCCTTCCTCTGTTTTCCAGCAGGTGTTTCTACCATATATGTAGGTGATAGGAACATGACAAAGAATGTGGAAATGCCCTAGATCATATAGTCATATGATCATTCAGTTTGTACTTTTGGTCACTCAACCTGATCTCTTCTCCATGTTTTTTTTCCAGCACTCCACCGAGCAAAGACCTGCCATTAAAAAAAATACAATGTGCAAGATAAATGTTTTCTTATTTCATGTGAAATTCTCCTCACAGATACAAATTGATCCTTTGCGGGTCCCATAAAGAGGGCAAGATTCTCTCAAGAACCATTAAATATAAGTGTTTTTATGTCTAAGATAATTTAAAAGTCCAGAACATTATTGCATTCTCTCCCACAGGAAAGGGAGATCTTTTCAGTGTGATTTAACATTTTCACTTTCCTAGAAGATAGAGATAACTTTAGAGATAACCATAACTTTTATCATGAAATAACTAATTGAAGTTTTAAAGAAATCCATAAATTTTGTGAATCAGCAGAAGACCAGATGCAAATACTAGAACTGAGAAACTATGAAGCACTTTGGTGAAAATACATTTGAAAACTTCTGAAGAATGATAAATAAAGAATAAGGGCTTAAATTGTAAAATTTTAGGAAATTTTCACAAGTGTTCTGGTGCTCATGGATAACATAACTATTCCAAAATCAATGCTTAAACTCCTATGCTATTTCTCCCCTACATCCCATTTCAGTGGGATGCATCCCACTCACATGGAGTGCTGCATCCTCTGCTGCTGCAAACAGACTTTCAAATCAAAAGGGATATATACATTTATTCCAGCCGAAAGCTTGGTCTATTGTTGTATCAGTAACCACTGCACAGCAGTTACTGTGTATCTAAAAGCATTGTATGAAATTTTGAATCATTTTGTGACAAGTGTCTCCTCTCTTTGCAGACTATCTTAGAAAATCTTCGTCTCTCTGTACCATTCCAAATCCATGATTCTGGCCTGGATTCTCAGAAGATGAACGTTCAGTTTAGTTGTTGGAAAGAAGTGTCCCTGTTTGCAACCCGCTTGCTCTGAAAAGGAATGACCTGTTGCCAGCTCCTGTGAGGTAATAGCACCAAGACATGTTGCCTTCTTCATGTGAAAGCCAGTGTTTATCCTCCGAATATTTCTGCGTGAATCCATGCTATTTTTGCAAAAAAAGTTAAATATCTGCATGTTCTAAAAGGGACACTCTTACACTGAAGAACCTGCAAAGGGTCTGCAGGACATCAAAGTGACTCCGTGGAAATGCAAATGTGTTACTGATATCTTTTTTTACTGAAGCATCTGTTTGTGATTCATGACTAGATATCATATCTCTAGGAGAACAGAGTTTCAGTATCTGGTTAAAGGCAAGTTTCAGTCAACAGCAGATGGAGTTGGATCTAGGATTAACTGTAAGGAAAGTGAGAGCTGAGGGGGGTTGGGTTCAATATTAAGGATCAAAACTCCTGCCCTGGTTAACGCTGAGATATTTGGAGATTTGATAGAGATTGATAAGGAGATTACCAGAGTGGGGAGATAAAGAACAACCTCAGATCACCTGATTAGGCCCTGATTTTATTCACTGTAATGTGAAAAGACTATTAGCAGTGACACAGTAGAAGTGTGCTCAGATATGGAAATATTCAGTGTGAGAAATTAAGAAAACTGATATCTGAAGACTTGTGGGTTGTAAATAGAGGAAATGAAGAGTTTAGATGATCTTCTGAAATTTAGTTAAGAAAGTACTACCTCTATTAGTGAGAAGATTAAGAGGCACAACATTATGTATTAGTGAAGACTGGAGAGAAAGGTGGGCTTGATAGAGAATGTCTCTCAAATACAGGTTTGAGTCAGGGCTTTCCACACTAATCCCAGGGTCTGGAAAAGTAATCAGGTTCCTGAAGGGCATGAAAGAGGAAAGTTAAAAGATGGGATTTTCTCACCAAGGAAGTCTGGTTCGTAAGATACAACATCTGAGTTTGACTGTGGGCCTTGCTGCAATGCTGGCCACCCAGAGACATCTCCCTTACCTGAAAATAGTGCATTATAGTCATCCTGGAAGTCCCTATATACCCAGACATCAGTAACTAGCAGTGTTAACTTTAAATGCTTTTATTGTGTTTATTTTTGAAATTGTCTGTATTGTGAAATGCTCTAAAACCATCCCTTCAGCCAGAGGGAGCTATGGAAACTTCTTTTAGCTTAAAAAATATAGGTACAGGAGTGTAACTTTAATCTGTAAATAGATATTGAGGTCTAAAGGTGATTTTTACACAGATCAGAATGATGAAGTGTTCACCTGTGAACATCCTTTATACTGTCCCCTTCTCACTGTTATTCCTTTTATAAAAGAGGAGATCCTGTAATTTATCACCCCTAGATATGCATTCCCATGTGAAGCATCTCTGCAAAGCCTGGGTCCAGGGTCCCAGTCCTGGGACGTGCTGACTAGGCTCTAAGTCTCTGCATAAATGAAATCAGTCATGCTATTTGATTAAAAACCAACATTTATTTACTGCTTTGAAACACAAGCTTGGTTTGCCTTGTCGGAAATGAGAAAAAGAAAGAGAACTGTTCATTTTGCACAGCTTATGTTTAGAGACAAATCTGACCAAATAAAAGGAGATAACTTTGATCGAAACAAATGAGAGGGATGTTTTCCTTGCTTATGCAGAACAACTGTCAAAGTAGGATAGCCTAAACTCAGTGATTCCTGGGCATTTACAGGAATAGGAAATTCATGTAGTGGATTCTAAGTTTGTTAGGTTTAATTTTAACTTTAAACAAAACCTGAGAGATTTCAAGTCTCTTGTTTAAATAATTTATTTATGAAAATAGTAGTTTGAGACTTTTTTAGTGGAGGTCTTATCTGAGCTATATCAGATAATATTGACCACTGCCTTGAAAAGAAGAAATGTATTTTTATATTAATGGAATTATTCTAAATTTTACAATTAACTGTAGAAGATGGAATATTTTTTGGATGGATTTTTTTTTTTTTTTTGATGAACTTGTATCCTTAAGATGTATATGAGTACATATGACACTGTACACAGTGCACCTTACTAGTAATTCCCCCTTTTCCAGATTTTCAGAACCCAGTTGTGAGGGGTAAGGTCTACAGTGCCAAATTTACACAGATATGTAGATAGATGGCCAGCTGGTATATAAAATGCAATCCTATTGCATTTCATTAGTTGCTAATGTAAACTTAGCCCTTACATTCCCATGTGTGGGAATCCAGTGCTTTAACTGACTTCTGTGTGTTTCTGTGAATCACCTAAGGGACCTTTGAACTCAGTATGTCAGGCTCAATGGCAACAAATCATTTTCAGTGCTCTTTACCAAAATATAAAAAAAAAGTTAAATAAAGATATTTTTGTTAGCTTCTGTATATTTTCAAAAAATAGAAAGTAACCTTATAGACAGCTATTTACTAAAAACTATTGAAATAATAAACTATGCAATCAGGTACTTTTCAGATAGTTGCAAATACATGGTCTCTGTTCTCATAAACATACAATCTAGAAAAGCTGTGGTAACTTGGGACCAAAAGATTTTCTGTTGATGCTGTTTTAAATACTTACTTGCATGCTCTTACTAGCAATAAAATAGCTCCTGCTAAAGTCAATAGTCAGCTATAGGTCTCTTCAGTTTTGCAGCATAAAGCCTTGAATGAAAACACACACAATTTTCTACTTGCTTGAGGTACTATTCATAAAACATTCAACTTCTGTCCTTTGCACGTAAGAAAAGACTCCTGAGAGACCTGAGCTTTAACTGCAGGAGCACAGGGCAGCATCTCTGGTTGCAAAATCACTTTAATCTGGAGGTGACAAACGGGAGAGATTAATGGCTTCAGTTCGAACATATTCAGCCAAATGCCACTTTCTTTCTTTGGCAAAGATGGAAAGGCCACTCTTACTGGGGAGTTAAGAAAGAGAATATTGACTTGGTTCATAATCCTAGAACACGTTCTTATTTACCTTAACATCACACCATAGAAGTAGGAATATTCTGTACACTGTATTCTGTAGTCCCATACCAGCAAAACTGCTTATATATATGGTTAAGGATCAGATGGAATTTCATGAACTGTAACAGCTAAAGATGTATGCACATAATTAAAATGATAGGTAATTTTATAGGACTTAAGCAGGTGCTTAACTATTAAAGTAGTTTTTGTACCTGTTTAATGTTATTTTTCTGATGGACTGTAAGTCTACCACCTCTCTTCAGCTAAAGAAGGTTTGGAATTAGCCACTGTTCAAAATAAAAGTAATGTTATTAGACATTTTAAAGGCTTTCATTGGACATTTTAAAATAAATATACCTCAAGTTTTATGTTCTTCTGGACTAACTGTGTCAACAAAAATGACTGAATCGTTTGGCACAAAAAATAATTTATAAAAGGTTAGGCTGAATTTTGATTTTTGATGCTGAATTTTGATGTGGATTTTTTTCCAAACTTTTGTGTTATAGTTTCAGAACAATTTCCTTATTTTTTTGCTGAAAGCGAGTGAATGTAGAACATTTCAATGTAATATTACCTTTCGAAGGTACAATGAAATGCAATGGTAGTGGGCACAGAAAACTTCATTTTTTTCTGTTGCTGTAGGAATAAGGGAATATTTTTTCCTTGATAGTTCATACAGGTGTTGCAAAAAGTGAGAGCTAAGACTTTTCGGAAGATTTAACTCTCAGCATGTGATACTGCAACTACAAAAAACTAAGCACCATTCTGTCCCTTGCGACAGTGTGTTGTACTCAACACTTTTTAAACAAGGCCACTTAAATATAGCTGATAAGTTTTACAAATTGTCCTATAAGCCTTAAAATATCAAAGAGAAATAAGTCTAAATGTTATAAGTGTGAAGTTAGGCACATGGCATGAATTTTTGTGTTTGAATTGGTGTCAGTTATGCAAGTTGAGGCAATGAAGTAGAACTCTCTGAAGTTTCCACATCTTCCCTCCCCAGCCTTACTTAAATATCTTTGAAATTAGTGTTTTTGTTTTATTTTGTTTTTCTAGAAAATTGCTATTGACTAATAAAAACTAAATTTATTATTGAGCTTGAAAGGACCTAACTTTCCTTTTCTGTCTACACATGGCTATAGAAGCAATGAAACTAAAATGGTCAAATATGCAATTTATACCAGCTTAATTAGTAGATCATCCATAGTAAGAAATCTAATAAAGCAAAAAGCGAAACCAAAACAGCCCCCCGCCTCCAGCCCTGAAAATACCCCAGCTGTCCATTGGATGACAGAGTTATTCAGTCCAAGAATCTCTTAAGCCCGTGTCTGCCTTATGAGACTCCAAGCACAAAAAGCTTCTGGGTTTTGTGTCAAGGCTGCAGTGACAGAATGTTCTTGCAGTGGATTTAGTTCATCCCTGGCAGTTACTCTGTCGATATTAGTGGCTTTTTTTATAGTATGCTGCTTTGAGGCACTGCACTTTGAAGCTCAATTTCCCTCTTTCCTGCAAATAGAAAAGGAATCGTACTGCCTTTGGGAAAAGGAGTTGGCTCAGAGAAGGATTATATTGCCATGGCATATTTAAGGACAAGGAACTTGGGTGGGAGAGGACAAAGAATATCTGATTTTTTTGTCTCATGAAGACAGAACCTCTTGTCTGTGTGGAAACTCACCATATGATTCATGCTACTTCACTTATGCATTGGTTTGAAACCCCATTCTTGTGTCCGTTTTGCTTGTATGGTTACTATGAATAAGAATTTCTTGCTTGTGCTGGCACTGCCACAGTTAAATAGTAATTAGAGAGAGAGTTAGCCATGCCTTTCTGATCTAAGATCATGCGTGCGTGCTCAAGCACTTCATATGGTAGTAATGATGGAAGAGCAGACAGAAGCTATGCGTGCAGCCTGTCATTCTTGTAATAGTTGAGTGCATTCTGTAATGACACTCCAGCAAAGAAAAAACAATAGTAATTTCAGTTCTCCACTGCCTCACTCCCAAATGCATATCCTTCAAGACGCCACCCTGGTTGTGCAAGTGACA